AATGTAACGTAGATGAGAATGCTGTCAGGGCCCGGGACTGGCCAGGTCTCTGCCCAGCTTAGGTAGGTTCTGGACATGGACCCATAAGCTCCCTTGCTCAGGAACAATTTCTCCTAGGTGCTTGAGGGCTATCTACTTTAGCTAGAGAGAGAGAGACAGAGTATCTTAGAGAGAGTAGAGCAGTCTTCTTAGAACAGATAGCTCTTAGTCTTTAGCAGAGCTTGGTAATCTTCAGCAGAAAGACATTGTACTGGCATTCTGCAGGCAGGAGAGGAGACAGAGTCAGAGTGAGTGGATCCGTGATAGAATGCTCATGCTTTTTGACTGCCTTCTCCTCCAGCTTAATATAAGGCTGAGCTCCTGCCAATCAACACCACAGGTGAAGAGACTGCCAAGTCACCAATGCTCTCATCTCACGAGCTCTTCTGCTTGTTAGAACTAAATCTCTCTCCATGCCCTTTTCACCAAGGTGTTCCAGTACAGGTATTTCTTATAACTCTCACTCTTCCTAGCCATAAGCTATAGGACTGCTACAGAATGCCTTCATTTAGACCTTATATTTTATTCTAAGTCAGAAAATCTGTATCAAAGAAAAATGTTATGGATGAAAATTGTTTAGATCATCATTGTCAAAGAAGCAGAAAAAGGCTGGGAAAAATTTCTTCTACAACACATTGCAGGATCACATTTTCTAACCATGGTGTAATAATTTTAACAACAGTCAATATTTTAGTTTTGTTGGAAATTAAAAAATGTCAAATTATTATTTGATTAACAAGCAAATAAATCATGTGCTCCCCATGAATGGTAATGGAAAGAATGAATCGAGAGTTTTACACTCAAGAGACGTGAGGTGTGGGCTACAGCCAAAGAGATGTGAGATGTAGCCAAAGCTTTAACTAGAGGAAGTTTTACAGCTTTTAAATGCATGCATATTATATGAAAACCTGAAAGATTCACCTATAATACACTAAATGTGCTGCTCAAGACTACCAAACACCCAGGCAGTGAAAAAAAGTAACAAAACCAGAAAATGATGATCAATAGTGAATAGGAAATGATGATCATCTTTCAATAATCTCAGTTTTTATTTCTTCCTAATGCAGGAATAATTTAAATTTAGGGAAGTGTTTCTTAATTTCTAGAGTGTTAAATTATTTGGGTTATTTTATATGACTGTCACAAGTGGTTTCCAGCCTAGCAGGCATTAAGCAAGCGCCCTTGTTTCCAGCAGCAGTTGTGTCTTATCTTATTTGAGGCCATCAGATCCTGTACAGCCCAGAGTGGCCAGTATAGCCTAGCATTGGCCAGGGGAATCTTCTGGGACTACTGGGAAATAAAATTTTACTCATTCGGAAGAGACAGATGTATCGTGCAGAGTCCATCTCCTCTCACTGCTTTTAAACATTTTCTTATGAGAACTTGATGCCTGGAGCTGCTGCAGCTATCTTGGAACCAGGAGGAGAGAAGAGAGGAGCTCCACAAAGCTGACCTAGAACCTGACAACACTTAGCTACTGGGTTAATTCTGGAATTGCCTCTTTGATGCCTTGTTATATAGAAAAAATAAACTTGCTGGAGCTCCTTTTATTTAGATATTCTCTAAACTTGCAGCAAAAAGCATCCTAAATGGCATAACTTCAGAATTTATTTCATTATGATTGGTAATTTTGGTCTGAAGACATCTACTTTGTCAGTTTGGGTTTGTGGATTTTTGTGTATGATCTATGAATGCTGAAAAAATATATATATTCTACATTTTTGGATACAAGTTTCTAAAGTTAAGTTCATTGAACAGGTGGATTACAATAATATTCTCCATGTTTTTGTATAATATAGCATACTGGATCAGAATGTCCTAAAATTGAATTTTTTTGCCAAGATCTTGAATTTCCAGAGATTTTTGCTTTTTAATTTATGTTGTTTAACCAATGGTGACATATTACTAAACCTCTGTTTATGGATCATATCTTTTATCATTACATAATATCCCATTTTGGCTAGTCCAGGGCTTTACAAACCAAATCAAGGCTGCTGCCTATTTTTAACATAAAGTCTCACTGGAACACAGCACGCTCACTATCTGTGACTGCTTTTGTACCACTATCTCAGGGCTGAACAGTTGCAATAGGGAACACATGGCCACAAAACCTATGTTTACTGCCTGGTTCTTTAGATAAAAAGTTTGCCAACTCCTACCTTAGGCTAATTCTTTTGGTATCTTATTTCAACAGTTAATACTAAATAATGGTAATGATTTATCTTTGGTTTGCTTGGGGATTTTTGAGACGGTTTCACTCTGTTGCCCTCAGTAGAGTGTGTTGGTGTCATAGCTCACAGCAACCTCAAACTCCTGGGCTTAAGGAATCCTCTTGCCTCAGCCTCCCCAGTAACTGGGACTACAGGTGCTTCCCCCGCCCATGAAGCCCACCTATTTTTTAGAGACGGGGTCTTGCTCTTACACTGGTCTCCAATTCCTGAGCTCAAGCAATGCACCCACCTCGGCCTCCCAGAGTGCTAGGATTAGGGGCGTGAGCCACCACACCCAGCCTTGATTTATCTTTGTTACCTGGTATATTTTGCCCACCCATTTGTTTTCACCCTGTCACTTTTCTTTAGTTACTTACATAAAACATAACACAATCATGTTCCTTGGTGAGCAGGTATAGGCAAACCTACTCACAAAGGCCAAAGGAGCTTAGAGGCCAGAGGCTGACACCCAGTTTCTAAGAAAACATTTAATAGGGACTTAACAGAAGAGATGTCTCTGGTGGCCAGGAGACTGTGGATCTCTGTACATACCCTCCAGAAAATATTTTTTATAGAGCAAGCTGTTTCTGCTAACACCTATTTACAGGCAGGTTCTTGAGATTAGGACATGCACTTCTTTGGAGACCCATACTTTTCCTACCATAGCAAAAAACTGCTTCCGTCTGAGCAGTTAGCAAGTTTTTCTCTACCCCTGAAATTTAGGATCTTAAGTAGGATAGGAGATAGTCTCACTTTCTTAGCCGAAGGAATTTGTTTTCTAAATATTGTTCCATTAGTACTTATCAATTGTTCTGTTTTATTACTACTTTAAAACTTTTTTTTCACAAATACTTGCCATGATGTTCAAAACTTTATTATTTTGAATAAACAGTATATGCTCATGATTCAAAGAAAAAAAAGAAAGAAAAGGTAGGATTTTAGCTAATAATAATGTATCACTATTGCTTCCTTAATGGTGACTAATGTGCAGGCCGATGTAATATGTTAATAGGGAAGTATATGGAAATCCTCTGTGTTATATTTGTAATACTCAGGTAAATCTGGAACCCTTTAAAAATTTAAAAGCTGGGGTGGTGCCTGTGGCTGAGAGGAGTAGGGCACCAGCCCCATATACCAGTGGTGGTGGTTTCAAACCCAGCCCCAGCCAAAAACGGCAAAAAAGAAAAAAAAATTAAAAGTTTACTTGAAAAACTCTGATGGACCCTATTGCAAGTAACAATGGCAACTGGTCCTTACTCAGTTTTGGCACTCCAGTGGAAGAAATTCAGCTTTTATCCTGCCTTCCCTGTATGTTTCAAGAGAACACAAGAGCAGCAGCTGATGAGGAAGAATTCTGCCTCATTGAAGAATTACTTACAGTCTTAGCACACTTCTTAAGCTAATATTTAGCATACCTTTGTGCAGTGGCAGTATCACAGCCAATAAGGTTTATCTGAGGCATAATTATTGGTAACTGAATACTTTTCCCAAGCCTCCGCCCTGATGACTTGAAATATAGTCCGCATTGGCAATTTTTGACAGTCTCTATGGAGACTCAATTTTAAAAAAGGGTAATATTAAGCTTTAAGAGTTTTTATTGGAGTGGCACCTATGGCTCAGTGAGTAAGGCACTGGCTCCATATACCTAGGGTGGTAGGTTTGAACCCGGCCCCGGCCAAATGGCAACAAAAAAATAGCCAGGCAGTGTGGTGGGTACCTGTAGTCCTAGGTACTTGGGAGGTTGAGGCAAGAGAATTGCTTAAGCCCGGGACTTTGAGGTTGCTGTGAGCTGTGACGCCACAGTACTCTACCAAGGGCAACACAGTGAGACTCTGTCTCCAAAAAAAAAAAAAGTTTTTATTGAATTGATTTGAAGTTTTGAGTAATTCAAGTGAGTATTTCTGAAATTCAGTTGGGTGTGCAGCCACTTGTCAGGCCCCGTTGCAACCACACTACTTACTGGGAAATTTGTATTTTGGTTCCAGTTTCTCCTGAGGTATCTGTATAGACATAGCAGATAGTGTTCAATACCGTACAGATTCTTTCCAGCGTAGCCCACAGGAGCTCCAGCACTGCCTGTTTATTTAGGAGCACCTGGGCTAGCAAGTTGAGTAATCTTTGTTGAACCTTAAGGCTTTTGCAGCTTTTTTCTTTTTGATCATTAGTCTTAGTGTTAGTTTTTCAATGCCTATTTTGAAATTCAAAGATTTTACATATTAAAACCCAATATGTTACCTTAGGACTATGAAGCAGAAAGAAAAAACAAATTGGAGCAAATTTGACCACTGTATATTATTCTACACTTTTTGACTAGTCTCTTAATTTTACGAATAGATTAGTTTAGTTAAATAGGTATGTATTATTTTATGAGGTGGTATTGTAAACAAGGGTGAAATCTAATAATACCAGAATTTCTTCCTCAGTAGGTCGTTGGTCTCGGGGATTTAAAGAATGAACCCAGACCACAGATCAGTGGTAAGACAGGAAGTTACTAGAGAGAAGAGTACAGGAGTCAAAAGCCCTTGAGCTTCTGGCAGAGAGGAAGACCTAGTTGAAGTCTCTCTCACAGGACCTTTGTCTAGGATTCTATATCACATTTTGGCCAGGACTGGGTAGGTGGAAAAACATCTTTTCAAAGTTAATGAGTACATTAACAAATGAATGAATGTAGTCCTTCCTCCAAGGGCAAGTTTATCATGAAGCAGTGGTGCCCATAGCTCAGGGGTAGGGCACTGGCCACATACACAGAGTGATGGGTTCGAACCTGGCTCAGGCCAGCTAAAACCACAATGACAACTGCAACAACAACAACAAAATAGCCAGGCATTGTGATGGGCGCCTGTGGTCCCAGCTACTTGGGAGGCTGAGGCAAGAGAATCGCTTGAGCCCAAGAGTTTGAGGTTGCTGTGAGCTGTGATGCCATAGCACTCTACCCAGGGCGACAGCTTGAGACTCTGTCTCAAAAAAATAAAAAAATAAAAAAGGTTATCAGGAAGGGATTAGGGTATTTGCTCCGTACTCTAGGTAGAACTACCCCCAAATAACTCAGGCTGCTTTGTTCATGACCTTGCTAAAGTCCAGAGGGTGTGGCCTGGAAAAGACAGCCTGTTTGTGCCTGGAAATGGGGGTCTGATTTCTGAGTGCACCTGGGCCCAGAGAATGGGGGGGCATCCCTGTCCATCCCTGAGCGGGGGTGGGGGGGAATCCTGTATCAATCCTCCTTCTCCAAATAGAAGCTCTAACTGCTTTTAGGGAAAAGGGGAGCTGACCACTCCAAACTGCTTCCTGCTAAAGATGGATAGTGATATAGGGAGCAGTTAGAGGTTCCTCAGAGGAGGGCAATCCAGGGCTCACAGTAAATGGAAATTCGGATTGATCTGTCTAGCTTGGGGCAAAATGTTAGGATATTTTCTTCATGAAATTGCCCAGTCCCAGGAAACTGGGGTCCCTCGTCCAGGCTGGAATGGGGAAACTCTGTATCAATAGAAGGGGACAGTTAGGGTCTCTCCAGATGGGCAGTGATCCAGGGGTCCGCAACAGAGTCAGGTCTTGAGCTGGAACTCTTTTCACTGTTTGAAGGCAAGGGCAGAACAGTGTGGGGAAGGGGTTAATTAAGGTGTCAGTGATGGCCAGTTGGAAATAATCAAGTCTGTGATTTTGAGAGAAAACTGTATCAACACTTTCCTTGCTGTCTTCTGAATAATAACTTCAAATTTTCTTTAGGTTCACAGGTGTAGGTGGACTGTGGTCTATTCCCTTCATAGTTTTTTTTTTTTTGAGACAGTCTCTCTATTATCGCCCTTGGTAGAGTGCTGTGATGTCACAGCTCACAGCAACCTCAAACTCTTGGCTTAACTGATTCTCTTGCCTCAGCCTCCTAAGTAGCTGGGACTATAGGCACCTGCTACAATGCCTGGCTTTTTTTGTTGTTGTTGTAGTTGTCATTGTAGTTTAGCAGGCCCCAGGCCAGGTTTGAACCCACCAGCTCTGGTGTATGTGGCCGGCGCCCAACCACTGAGCTATGGGCGCTGAGGCCATGGCCATGTCTGTAAGAGATGATGGGTTTCAGGATTTCACTTGTGAATGATGTAACCAGGAATCTGTTCCTGTAACTTTAACAGCTGTAGAAGAAAGTAACAGGAAAAGGACCTTCCCAAGTTGGGGTAATTAGGTCTCTTCCCAAAGTTAGTTTAATTGCCTCTGGGGTTAAGGGCTATAGCTGCTACAACTCCCAGACAAGGTGGCCATCCCTTGGCCACTGTGTCAATTTCTTTACTAAGACAAGCTATAGGTTACAAAACTGGACCCCTGCATTGGCTCAAGACCTCTAGGGCAATTTCAGTTTGCCCTATAAAGTATAGATTAAATTGTTGTCCAGTGGGAAGATTTAAAGCAGGGGCCTATAAGAGAGCGTTTTTTTCAACTGTTGAAATGCCTTATCTGCTGCTGGTTCCCATTCTAGAATGACCAGGCACTCCTTTTGAGCATTTTTAATTAAAGAAGGAGTGGTCTAGCTGTTTCACTATATCTGGGAATCTAGAGTCTGCAAAAGCCTGTAATTCCTAAGAAGCCTTAAAGCTGTCTGAGAGTTCCAGTGTTAGGGTGAGCCAATATTTGTTCTATTCTTTCTTTGCGCAAGGCTCTCTTTTCCTGTGAAAGTCGGAGACCCAAATAGTGCCCTTCAGGAACATGTAATTGGGCTTAGCCTTGGAAACTTTGTATTCACAATCAACTACAAAGCTTAATAGAGCTTTGGTAGCTTAATAGAGCTTGGGTAGTTTTGTGGCATTCCTCTGCATCTGGTGCTCCCCAAAGAAGGTCATCTATATACTGAATAAAAGTCTCTGTGGGATATGAGAAATGACTCAAGTCTTGGGCTAAGGCTTGCCCAAACAAGTGAGAACTGTCCCTAAATCCCTGAGTTACGGTGGGATTTTTTTTTTTTTTTTGAGACAGAGTCTCATTATGTCACCCTGGGTAGAGTGCCATGGCACCCCAGCTCACAGCAACCTCAAGCTCTTGGGCTTAAGCTATTCTCTTGCCTCAGCCTCCCAAGTAGCTGGGACTACAGCCTGGCTATTTTTTTGTTGCAGTTATCATTGTTGTTTAGCTGGCCTGGGCTGGGTTTGAATCCGCCAGCCTGGGTGAATGTGGCCAGCGCCCTACCCACTGAGCTACGGGCACTGCTCATATAGTGGGATTTTTAAACTTAATTTGGACCAGTTGAGCATATTTTGTGCTTCCCACCTGTCTCTCAGTAGCTGATATTTCTGTGTTAATTTCTGTCTCTAATAAGGGAAGGCATAGTATAGGTTTCTGTTCCATATTCGTATAAATGGTTATTCTAATTTAGTTAGTATGACTCTTTCTAAAAGGGGAATAGGACTTTCAGGCATGATTAGGAAGGCATAAGAGAACAGCCAGTCATTCCAATTGCAGCTTAAAGGTTGAGAGAACAATTTGGTAACCAGCTTTCCAGACAACTCCTGTATAGTTACAGATTTGGGGATAGAAGACCAGGGTTAGACAGGAGTACAGAAAAGGTTGCTCCAGTGTCCAGAAGAAATTCTGTCTTCTGGCCCTCCACTATGAGGCAGACCCGAGGCTCTTGAGGGGTGATAATACAAGCTGGAGCCATGAGAATCTGCCCTGGGCACCCTCAGTCCAGTTTGGGTGCTGACTGGATCACTGTCCCAGGAGGCCTTCACCTCGGGGGACAAGCTGCTCTCCAGTGATCACCGTTGCATTCTGGACAGGGCCTGGTGGCTTTCCTGACAGTCAGTGCTACCAGGGGCAATCTCCCTTGAAGTGGCCAGTCTGACCACATTGGAAGCTCTTGTCCTTCCTTAGCTCCTCTGGCTTCCCTCTTTCCCTGAATGTGCCTGTTTGTTGGAGTGCCATTACTACAGTCATTCTTTTTTATATCTTCTGTCTTTTTCCTCCTCTTTCTCTTGATCTTGATTATAAAAGGTCACTGTGGCCATTTTAAGAAGATTCTTCAGGTTATGATCTGGGTCTAGAGCCAATATCTGGAGTTTTCTTTGAATGTCCAGTGCCACCTGAATGATAAATTTATCTTTTAAAATAATTTGGCCCTCTAAGGAGTCAGGTGTCAACTGAGTGTGTTTTCTCATCACCTCCCTACGCTGCTCAAGAAAGGCTGAGGGACTCTCATTTTGCTCCTGGTAAATAGTAGACAACTTACAATAATTTATAAGCTTTTTTTAGATCGATGTAAACCTTCTAGGTTACATGTTAGAAAATGTTTGTGCCACCAGTCACCTTGTTTCTCAGGGTCCCATTCAGGATCCTTAAAGTGAACTGCCTGCCTTCCCGTGGGGTGTCTGTCCCTTTCCTCAGAGGACATGCTGCCATCAGTATTGGCCATGAAGCACAAATCACCTCACTTTCTAGCCTCACCTAAGGCTTCATTTTTCTCATTTAAAGTTAAAGTTTGATCCAGTAGCAGCATTACATCTCTCCAAGAGAGGTCAAAGGTTTGTCCTAACCTTTGGAGAACATCTGTATACCTATCTGGGTCATCAGAAAATTTC